CTCAAACGACCCTAGTAGGACAAGCGAGCAAACAAAAAGATCGGTGAAGCCAAAAGCTCGAATTAAGGCGAGCTAGATAAGATATTGATTTTTTGAGAAGCCGTTCAGCCTGAACCATTCCCTGTGTTCAGACCACGGAAAGTTTCACCACACACAATTGCCAGAACATGGAGACTCGAGGTCCAAGCAACAACAAAGTGGAAAAATGCGGCCGAAAGAAAATTAGCTGGACATTGGACGGGTCGATGAACCAACAGTAGCACGATCTACTGGGGATTTGTCATCCTCGAAGAAAAGTATTCAGAGATGAGTCTGTTCTCTTTCTCTTAGTCTTAAAATGAAAAACGACAGAGTGAAGAGTTCGGAAATCTGGTTGACGCCGAAACTTCGACAGCGGACCTACATGTAATTATTCCAATTATGAGACAATGCTGTTGTAGTGAATGATAATGTGATGGTATGTTCACAATTTTGTTTACACTAGTCAAAGCAACAACACACGAGGGTGTGCTGGTAAACAATTGAAAATATACGCCACAAGCCTGTCGAGTGTGAAGGTCACACTAACACCTACAGCTACCCAGTTGATGCCTGAACAGCAAATAAGTTGAACGGTGGCTGACTAAGACTGGATTTAAACTCCTTGACAAGGCAATACTAAAAACGAAGCTCTGTTGAAGTCCCTAAACAGGGAACGGAAGGTTTAAATTTACTTTACTTCTGTCGAGTCGAGAAAAAGTGCCTTTATTCAAGGATAAGTAAGGAGCTTGCAACCTTGGGAGAAATTCAAAGGCGAATGTGGAAATCGAGTAACAGAGTATGCTATACAGCCATAATAAATGTAAAACGACGAATCAAAACTTGTTGAAGCCATGAAATCCAGCCTTAGGAACCTTTCGGGTCCTAGCTACCAAGCCAGCGGTAGGAAGTACGAGGACTGAGATAGTGCGAGGCTGCCCAAGCCTAGACAGGGGCAATTCCGACTCAGAGGTTGGATTCGAAGCAAGCAAGCAAGCCCTAACCACTGAGCTACCTTGTGGTCCAGTAAAGCCATTCTGAATGCGTTTGCGCCCTAACCACTGAGCTACTTTGTGGTCCAGTAAAGCCATTCTGAATGCGGTCGAAAGTCGGTCATGACGGCGTGCAATGCTCAGCGCGAGATACGCACAAGCGGAACGTCACAAGTCCTGTGTAAAACAATAGATTGAAGTAGGTAACACATACACAACCGAAACGATAATCAGTTCATGCAAAGTCCATCATATTACTGTTGCCAATGACATGTGGAAACGGGTCACTGTGACCGAAATTCGTGCTCATAAGGTGTAGTGCACCGCTCTAGCAACAGCCGCATGCCATGCTCGATTAAGTAACACTCGAAAGTATGCTGAGCCCACCTTAGGTACGACTTCTACACACAGAAACCATAATACGACGATCTTTCCGACATACATCCTGAATACTCCTAAGATGGAAACACTCTACAATAAAAAAAAACGGCTGGTCTACGCTGACCCAGCACAAACTCTCTTTTTTGGCCTAATAACGACCCCTTACTGCCATAAGGACTATTTCCATAAGCTTTACTAACAGAAATGACCTCTAATATACGACCTCCCTTACTTCACAATGTGGCGACCTTCGTTGCCCAAATAACAAAGATCGACTGACACCCAAAGCACAGTTTTGGGCGTTGGACACAGTCAAAAACATTAAACCGGAAGTACAGGTAGGCAGACAATAAGGAAACCAGTAGGATCCATTAGTAAGCGAGCGCTGTGACACAATTCGCATACAGCCTAGTGAGCGCACGTAAACAAAGTCGGTCGCGTTGGAAACGTGGTGATAATTTAGACAAACCGTATTTCAGAATAAAATATTGGCTCGCCTCTCGCCATATGATATTTCAGTAACTAGAAATGACAGAAGGATTTGGTGTACTTTTAAATAGATATCCTCATTGTTTCCCTAAATCTAATCCTTCTCCTGCGATGGTCTCGAATACTGCGAGTTGAATAATCTCACCCATGTATCCCCACTCCTTTTCCCGTTCCAAGTCTCTCCTTTACCTTCATCTTGGAGCCATTAACAGTTCTAACACTTGCTCACCCACTTTCCTTGTTCGAAACACACCAGTCGCGGTCCATGCCCTTATAAGCTCGCAAGTACTCCAGCTCAGCTCAACTTCTTCATAAATCTCAGATCCACCCTAATGTAGAATGAAAATGTCTTATTTGGAATGGGGTCTTCGATTTCGCTTTGGCTTACTTGACAAATACGCCCCAAAGCCATACTCTCACTAACGTCCAACTTGCAAAAGCCCACTCACAGTTTTTCTTGCTTTGTTTTAGCGGGAGACCTTTGTCGAAGATATAATTTTCCGTTTCCCTAACTCACTCCCTAAATCGTGAAACCTGCCTAATCACGTCTAGCCACCCCCCTCCCGCCATTGCGAAATCGAACTATTTGCCAGTTGCTTCTCCAGAAAACCCTATCTCTGAAAATTGACTACTTTCTGTATTCTTAGCAGCTAAAAATTAAGAAAAGGGTGATCTCAATCCACCAAATGCGCTGTCTGTGTATTTTACTACCTCTGCAAGTCTTAAATGACGGGCTCTCCTACCACTATAGTCCACTTCATGTAAAAAAAACATGGTGTTCCTGCATATGTTTAATGGGTTTACACGTTCGCTTGATCGATTACACAGAAAGCTGGAGATGTTCTAGGTAGTACCATCCACGCTTTGCCTTTTTAATCATGTAGAAACAGGTTTGTTAGTAAGAACTTTTACGCAACCCATACGAACAATTCGGTAATCGATCAACCAGGGACCCATTATATCAATGGTATATAACTTATGAATAATACATGGCAACCATGTGGTCCACGTATATCTGATGGTTCAAATTCAGATGCAAACGATTAAGCCTTGAGTTTGTTTAATTAAGTAGGGGTTTGGATTGATAAAATAAGCAGGCTTTACTGTGGATGATAGAATAAAATTCCTTCAGTGAACTGGAGATGAAAAAGCGGGTTAAAAGTGTTAAAATGTTCCATATACGAAAGATCTTGGTCCGATTCGCCGCATATAACACGAATAAAATCTAGTATGCACCCGAGGAAATGGTTTGGGTATTGTGTACAACATCCATTGCTAATGACGTAATCCGATATTTTTCACTATCTATTGAGAACGCCTCCCCGATGCAGGCGGATTCACCAGTTACTTTCAAAGTCTATGGATTTTTTCCTTTCCGGAAACATTAGAGTAAGTCCACGGTTCGAAAAGTCAGAAGGACAATGCAAGAACCTGTGCAAGGTTGAGTCGGCGACGACCGCTGAATGGATTAGACATCAGTATAAGGTATATACTGAGATCGGTTCACTTAAACATGTTATGGAAGTTAGCAGAGGTCTATATCAGCAAGGCAGACAATACTGAATAGCAGTCGAGTGATTAGAGACGGGATATCAAACAACGGTGTTGATGCGTGTGAAGATGGTACGCATCTACTTATTCTTTCTGTTGAAAATAAACTGCGAAGGTAGGACCATTTCTTTGTCTCTGGAGCGTCAGGACTGTTAGAACAGCATTGCCGAAAAACCCCCCAGTTGAGTTTGTGAATGACAATTATGAATGTACACAAATTTCAGGAAATTTGCTATCAATGGAAACGAAGTAGGCCTTCCTGGTCGAAAATTTGCAAGGACAAACACTATTCAAAAGGTCCGAATACTAGCAATAAAATCAGCTTCGCAAGGCCAATAAATTGAAACGAAACTGGAAATGTTTACAAGAGCCCGAGAAATTAGGCGACTTATTATGAATTAGGCTACGAAGAAAAAATGGCAACGATTTTGGCCGTTCCAATGGGTGCTCCCCCAAGAGAGGACCGTATTCGTAACTGTGCTGCAAAAGTACTGTTCAGAATGAATGCTGTGCAGATCACCGTTTCGTAGGAACTCTACTGTTTTTAGGAATATCTGGATGTGCAATGGTACGGAACCATCAAGATGAAACGTGTGCTGTGCGTTTAAGTTGGTGAAACAAGATGACACGTGTCAAATACACCATACAGATAGTGAACAATCAAGCTGGCTATCACCATTTACCCTTGATAAGAGGGTTTAATTCTCAAACCAAATTAAGAGAGCGTGGCAGAGTCATCAACTCGCAACAACAAATAGGTTCGACTGGGTTATGGTCTGACAGACGGCAAAATTATGAGGTCACCAAGCTCTGATCGTATATTGATATCAAGTTAGCTATGGAATTCTTCGTTAAACGCAACAAAGCCATATATACACTGTTTTTGATGCCAGTGCAACCAGGCTCCACGATGAAATAGGTGTGTTAACTCACAACAAAGAGACTCCATTGTGACATAGATATTCACCTTGCTTCAAACTTGCCATAACTACACAAATGCTTTTATTGACCATGGTCGGTGGGCCACATATAGAAAGCACAAACATATCGCTACGTTCCATTGGGTTTTGTTAATAACTGAGAGTCGTGACCCACTAACAACCCATATGGCAGCGAGGAACAGCGCTTCACCTTTTCACGCCACAGCTTCAGTCAAGTTAGATCAAGTGGGAATTATAAAGAACTATCCCTTCACCGCTNAAGCATCGCCTAGCTGTGAAAACGTCTATTCTGATGCAACGGCACGTGCATTACGTGTTTCCTAGTGCTCAATCCATTCTATCCACACTGACTAACCAAAACGTAGTGTGGTAATGACAACAAGCGATTGAAATCACGTTATTTATTATTATTATTATTATTATTATTATTATTATTATTGAGCTAACAGCTTCATATGCTTCAGAGTCACTTGAGAGTCCGAAATTCTTACACGTGCAATCACATCACATGAGCAGCGGAAAGCGGCCTAGTCCAGGTGTGGCGTCAAATTAGTGGTGCGAAACTAATATGACTATTAGTAGTGCGTGAAATTATTCATAGCCCTACAAGATAAAAAAAAACGCTTACTTTGTCGTACGTAATGTCCGCACACCGCTCCACGAATGGATGTTTCCCTTGTTGATCTTTACCGTCGCGTCGTCGTCCTGGATAGTGGTAAAAACATTCATTTTGAGCTACTCATGAGTAGCATAAAATTAAAGGCATTTCAGCTAAAGCCTGCCGACGAACGGGAACTGCAGGCAGCGGTTAAGCAATAATGCAAGTATACCCACGGTGAAGGATGGTATAGTCGAAGGATTGTCAGGTTCAAAATGAGTCTTACATATGATAACATGAGAACTATCCGGTGCTGGTAGCATTTCCTTCAATCCCCAAAAGACATCGAATGTTACGCTTAGAGAGGCCAAGTTCCGAAGGGGAGAAATGCATAAAAGCAACAGCTGAATAGAGCTCAGAGGATGGAGCGAATTGGCATGAAAATATCCTAATGCTAAATTTTGACAACATCAGGTAAACGGCATATCGTCTCTTAGCACGCGATGCGTACGTTACGGAGATTTGGATGACTTATATGCTTATTGGTGTTGGGGTTTGGAAAACCTCTGAGCAATAGTAGCGACAGCCCTTTAGGAGATGGGTAACCAGAGTCTAATCATCAAATCCGACAAACGGTGGGTGCTCAACATAAACTAAGATGTGGTAAATATGTGAGGAGAGAGGGCACAGGGCGGGCAAAGCATCAGGGTACGGTGATTACAGGTAATTAGCTCTATCAAGATGGTATTCAGAGTATTCGCAATACTTCTGCCCAATCGAGTCTCCAGGCATCAGATTAACCGAAAAGGAGGGGACCACAAAATAACTCTTTCTCAAATACTAGGACATAGCTTCAGGACTCAACAACCTAGGGCGGCATATCCCTCATCATTCCGGTGACCGGTATGGCACGAAAAAGTTTACGCTATTGGTTGTTGATCAGGTGGCCATTGATCTGTTCGCCGAACTTCACAATTGGCTTACAAACGCTTCGTCACCATATAAAGAGACATCAGTGCTCCGTTGGGTGAGTACATCTTCCCTGCCTGCCTGCGTTTACATAACATTTTAAGACTATCTGTTATTTTCTGGCGTGATTGACTACTTGTGCTAGCGCTTCAGAAGGGTTTGATAAACAATCGGTAGTTTTTATTTGGACTTTTCGCTTTTGCTACAAAAGCTTTATCAGGCCAAGTGAACAGGTCGCCAAGTCGGCCAGGTTTTAAGGCAGACGGAGAACCAATCAGTAAGACCCCTATTAATCTCTTCTGAAACGATGACTTCTCAATCGGCTCCAAACATTTTTCCTACTTGGGTAAGCGTTTTCTCGTGAATCTGTTGGTCCGTTCGTGATCCTCTTTGCGTTGTGGTCTGCGTTCTTTTGAGTTGATCGGTGATACCAGCGCCTTCTATTTGTGGTTTCTACCTGGCTTTGATTGGTACTGCGTTGTGGTCTGACCTGCTCGAGCTTGATTGGTTGATGGAACGCCCTATTTTCTCCATTGTAACGGCTAGTGTTACCGCATCCGCCGGACATTGGTTGGAGGCTTCCTCCAATCAAATCGATGTGCACATTTGAATGGGGCTTTCCTGTTTCTCTTATGATTTCCTCGTCTGGTTACTTTTGCGGTTCGGAGCTCCGCGGTTCTGGCGTTCTCCTACTCTTAGTGGTTGATAAATAGGATTAATTTCGATAGGTTCGTTTATAGCTTCCTCAGGGAAGTACCATACTTCCATAAATCCAGGTTCTTTCTTCGCTCTTGCTTGAGCCAGTATGCGAACGCCGCTCGTGTCCTTCCTGATCTTTGTGTACAAAGAGCTGAGGTAAAATTGATCATGTCTTTCAACAGCGAGCTTGTGTTCATGTATTCTGGTGGAGAGCTTCCTTTCAGTTTGTCCGGTTTGCCACAGTCCTTGCATTGGATCCTATATACGACATTGTTCTTCTTCATTGGGTCTGATTTCCCTCTTGGTCTTGATAGTGTCCACCGTGAAGCGTTTGCAGACTTGTAAGCGACCATTGTACTATGCTATCATAAGAGCCTTGCCATCATTTCAGCAATGTTCTTTATGTATGGGAGTGTGACTCATTTGCTTGCATTTTGTCCTGTTGCATCGATCGTATTTGGCTTCCTGAGTGATCTTCAGATAAAATTTCTCGGGTATCCATTTCTCTGGAACAATCTGTATAGGCGTTTTTCTTCTTTAATGTTGGATCCTGTTGTGCTGCGGTGTATCTCGATCCACTTGTAAGGTGCCCGAATGCAGCTTCGCTTGTGAAAATTTTGATGGTTGCTGTAGTAGCTCAGGATTTCGTCCGTATGCGTCACTTTTCTATACACCCCAAGTTTGTAGCTGTCCGTTCGGCAATCTAGAGACCGAGACGTCCAGAAATACCAGTTTTCCGTTATTTTCCTCTGCGACTGTGAATTTGATGTCTTGGAAAAAGTTGTTTGGCAGTTGGCTTACACGTTGCAGCTCCTTTCCTGGCTGCACAAAAGATAATACTCTCAGACCCTCAGGGACGCGCAATTTATTACGGGACCTAGATTTCTGACCTGCAACACGTTGATGTCGTTCAGTTAAGTAGCAAGATGGTGTCAAACATGATCTCGAAACTAACGCCTTCAAGAGAAAGCTCTCTCCATATATTCACCGGCACGTAATGGGAGACTTCAATATCCACACTGTGCTTGGTATCTCCCTTCCGGCTTCTTCCCGAAGAGTGAAACGATGGATGACGCGGGATACAAATCAATGGCATATGAATAGCGTTTCTAAAGCAGAAGAATGTCCTGTAACACAGGATGGAAATTAATCTTGGAACTAAAGCCTGTGTCCTACACGCCTTTTTCGGCTCCATATTACTTCACAGACATAAGCCTGACCACTGCCGTGCGCAAATGAATGAAAACTGAGGAAATTTGGTCCTGGTGCCTTAGGATAATGTTTGAAGAAGGAAGGCTCGATAAATCAATCCGGCAACATCGATATTGCGCATCAAAGCTAGCTGTATAGGTACAACAACACACAGGCACCCCATATAT